GACATCCTCAAACCTAATTGAATACCCAACTGTCTGTCCCAACTGAACACCGCATTCTTCAGCAACCCTTTTCGCGACCGTAATGGCAGCAACCCGCCTCGGCTGAGTTACCCCAATAGTTTTCCCATCTCGGCAGAACCCATAATCGAATAAAAACTGAGGAATCTCTACATAGAATTATAACAGCCTATATAAATATCAAAACATTATCAATTGAAAATAAAAATACCAAAAATAATATTACTCACGGGTTGTTTTCCCACTTCCAGTTTCACCAACAATGATCAAAACATCATGTTTTTGAACCTCTTCGACAAGTCTTTTCTCAACTACAATAAGAAGGAACAACATTTGTTTAAATAAAAAAAAGCATAAACATGATACTAATTTATCGAAAGGTTTAGCAATCCAACAAACCCGAAGCAATAGGAAGCGACTTCCGGTGCTCCAATATCTTTTGTCTCCTGAAAATTTAAAAGTGATTATGATATTTAGAATGCAATTTTGGAAGGATAAAAAAGTGAATAAAGAAAAATAAAGTTGAAGAATGGACCTGGCAAAGAAACTGGTTTTGTTGTTATTTCTGTTGTTATTAAAAGAGAGGTTGCTGTTGGGTACTTGGGATTCCGCCATTGATGGCATCTTTCGCTAATAAAAAAATCATAAAAGGGATTCTAATCATTCATAAAATTGAGAGAAAGATTAAGACAAATTTAAAAACATGAGAATTTCCTAAATCAAGTCTAAAATAGTTCTAAGGCTTATAGCCTCACAAAACTTGCTATACATCATCTTCCATGGAAGAATGTAAAGGTTATCTCATTTACTCTTGATTCACCTGCAATCTAAATAAAGTTAGCTCTTTTAGTCTTTATAGCCTTAAAGCTTGAAGAACAAGAGGAAGGAAAAGAAATGGTGAAATGAGAGAGAAGTGGGTCGAATCTAGAGAGTCTACGTTGAAACTTGTCCTTCACGAAATCTTCGTTTAATTTAAAACTTAAAAATTACCATCTAAAACTTAGAAATATTTTCAATTTCAAACTTCAATATTTTAGAAATAATCATCCCAAGAATATCCGACATAAATGATAAATATTTGAAAAGTTATGCATGAATAGTCCAAAAATAGTTATAATATTTAAAGTCTAAAATTACATAAATAATAATATTAACCCAAAATAAAGTTACAAATATAAATCTAAAATAAGAAATCTGAATAAAATGTCATACTCGAAATAATAATTTTTTTGAAAAATAAATGACGTAATCCTCTAAGTACCAATTCGCCTAAGTCTAAAAATCTAAAAGACAAACTATGGGGATATACTATAAAATTTAGTGTGACTCTAAAGTACAAACAAGCATTCAAAATTCATATTACAAAACAATATCACGTTCCTAATCAAATATTTCATGGCACAATTGACATGCAAGTGGAGTCTACCACAAAGACAGATGCCACTGAATTTGAAGTGAAATTTATCTCATTGGGTGAAAAAAATACTGATATTTCTTATCAATCAAAATCAAATATGTCATGGTAATATGGGATACATACATAAATTTCAATATGATGCGAACGTAAAAATATTTACATAATTCCGAATTTACAACATATAATCCATGTGGGTCAAACCGAATTAGCTCCTACAGAAAAATTAATAATGTTTTATTAACCTAATTTAACAACAAACTAATCTAAACCAAATTACCAACTAAAACTCTCGATCGATACTTGTAATTCTATATTATTCAAATCTAGCGGGTAACGGTCGAGGGGGCGATAATCCAGTTTCTGGTCCGATATCTCCTGCAAAAATTTAACGACTGATTTATTATCCAGTTCCACGATTTTTCTGATTAATGTAACAACTAAACGTTATTTAAAAATAATTCATGGTTCGAATATGGAATCGGCAGTGGGTTTTGTTTCGAATAAAGGGACTGCCGGTGAAACCCATGGCCACCCATAGCTAGCAATGGCGACCACTCGGCCAACACAGTGAGGGAAACGACGAAAAAGGGGCGGCAGCAACCCCCACGACCAACCGAGGTGCTGCCTAGACTCAAAACCGGTCGACTAGGCCTTCCCATGTGAAGCCCCGACCCCATGAACGGCCACAGACAGCTGTACACGGCGGCCATGCGACGGGGTTTTAATTTCCTTACCAAGACTGAGCAAGTGACGAGGAGGAATGAAGATGGTGAGCGGCGCGATGGACGAAAGCAAAAATAAAGAAAATAGAGAATGGAGCGGCCGCACGGGTTTCCAAGACAAATATTAGGATTGTGATGATAAAAAAAATGGGGAAACTTCAGGATTAGTCCCAAAATTATTTATATTTTTTGAAACTGAATTTAATTTCACATTAATTATGAATTAGTCACTGAATAAAACTAGGGATTTAAGGATTTCTCCCCAAATTTTAGGGTTTTTTAATTTGGGGTGTTACATATGTTAGACAAGAAGAAAATTAGCTATGATTTTTTCTTAATGATATATTTACTCTTTTAGTCCATTCTCTTTTTTTAAAAAAATTTAAAGATCTACTTTTTAAAGTCAAATTAAACTAAATTCTCTTCTATACACTCAATTTAAGACTTTAATAAATTATTATGGCTTATAGGGGTAGCACACAGCCATATAAGCACATTTGTATACATGTTTAAATAAATATTCATCATTTTAATTTCAAAATATACTCAAGTCTAAAGTAGTTCCAAGGCTTATAGCCTCACAAAACTTGTACTTGCTATACATCATCTTCTGTGGAAGATGTAAAGGTTATCTCAGTTACTCTTGATTCACCCGCAATCTAAATAAAGTTAGCTCTTTTAGCCTTTATAGTCTTAAAGCTTGAAGAACAAGAGGAAGGAAGGAAAAGAAATGGTGAAATGAGAGAGAAGCGGTGAACCTTCACCCTTTTTACTTTCTTCATGTTAGACAAGAAGAAAATTAGCTATGATTTTTTCTTAATGATATATTTACCCTTTTAGTAAAATGTCTCGTTAGACAGAGATAATGAATTTTACGAAGATTGGTGAGTTCTTTTGATGTTAGATGTCATTGTCAAGAAATTTTTTTGTTTTTCTTCGTATATTTGAGTTTAATATTTTTTATTTTATGTATGAGTTTTTTGGTGATATTATGTTAATTTTTATCTCTGTATTTAGGTGCGTTGTAATTTTGATTCATTCTATTGTTTTTATTAATGAAATCAAGTTATCATTGTTCAATTTTATATAAAGAAATAAACTTATAAAATATTAGTGAATAAAAATAAATTATTAATTAAAAATATAAAAGATGCCTAAGATATATTTTAATTTATTTTATTTTTAAAAAGACAATTATTCTTGTATGCCCTCCTTCAATATATCCTAAAACTTAGGTTAATTTATGAAAGCAAAATTACATGTATTTTCTTCGTATGTAAAATTCTTATAGTATTTTTTATTAATTTGGGATATATATAAAATAATATTTATTCAAAGATAATTCTTAATCTCTCTACATTAAACGCTCATACTTCTGACATCTATGATACTCGAACCTAAATCTTCAACGAATGGCAACAATTCTTTCTCCGCAAAAACCATTTAATTTGTACATTATAGTAAAATGTATATATAAGTTTCATTTTAGATAACTCAATTACAGTGGAAGCCGGAATATATAGACATCATTACTAATTTCTGACTTTAAAGTTTTACTTTAAATTTAATTATTTGTATTGAAAACTGAGTGTACTAAATGTCATTTTAATAAAATTAATTAAATAAAAAATAATTAATATTTAATTATAAATATCATTTCAGTATTTTAATATATTTTAAAATTTGAAAATAAAATAATTATATTTGTTTATAAGTATTATTTTAATTCATACGAGAAGATATTTATGAATATTTTAATTAATGTATATAAATATTTACCAAATGAATATTTAGAATGATCAGTTGAAAGAATTGAATTAAATTAAAATTGTATATGTTACAGTATACTCAAATAATATCTGAGAGAAGTTTTTCAAAAGCTTGATCTGCTCGATAAAGTTTTTTTTAGTGTCACGTAAGATAGTTTAATATACGATTAAGAAAAGACGTTATATATTTTATTATTATTTTTTAATAAAATTGGTAAAAGATGAATGGAAATATTATTATTTCTACAGAAAATATTATTAGACTTTTTGCCGGATTTAGTAATATAATTGATAGAAATAATATTTTAGATAATACTTTATCGGATATATTATCAAACTCGATAAAACGTCTAATAATAACCTTTCTCGTAAAAATAATAGTATTTTAAATAATTTTTATTAAATATATTAAAAAATAATAATAAAATCAATACCGTATTTTCTTAACAAGATTTTGCCGTACGATAGAATTTCCCAAATGAATGAGAAAGTAAATTGAATAAAATAATATAGAGGAGGGGTTGCATTATTGGTGAGAGATTTTTTCCTCAAAAAAGGAAACCACGTGGCAAGCTCCTAGGCATCTAAAATCGGGACAGAGCGTGGCAAATGCTCAGTGCATTATTAACACGTGTAATTACATCCGTCCCGAACTTTATTTTTAAAACACGTTAAAAGGGCAATCTTTCAGAAATATTACGATGTCAGTCGCATCCCACGTGTCGATTCGGCGCTTCTCATGATCGCCACTTGTCCCTGTCCCATTTATCAAGGGCATTTTAGTCCTTCAAAAACTATTTCCGTTCTGATCCATTCCCATTTTCATGTTTTTTCAAGTTATCTTCTTCTACTTCTACATCTCTTCAACCATTTTCTCCCTTAACCATTACCAGATCAAATGTTTCTTTCAAACCCTAATTATTTTTAAATCACTAATTTTTCTTTGTTCTTTTCATTATTTTTGTGAAATAATAAGAACAAGAAACGTTTTTGTTTGAGTTAGTATTGGTTTCAAGTTTGATCATTCAATCTTAACTCTTTATTTATATTTTCTTTTTGGTGTAAATAATCAAAGTTTAATGCATATAAATCTGGTTTTCGTTATGTTACATAGACAAAGACAATAACTTTAAGAGTTCTTTTTTCTGTTTTATGTTTACATCAACAATGGGAGAAGCAAATGAGAAGATGAGAAGAATCAATAGCAGCAAAGAAATGAGCAGTCTTTCTTTTCAGATAGAGAAGTACCCAAGAGATCTTTTACAAAGATTCGTCATATCAAGTGAATCCCAAGCTTTGAGAAGGAGTGCAAGAGAAGAAGATGATGGCGGTGATGATGAAGAAGAAGAAGACGTGGAGCTGAGTCTCGGGTTATCATTGGGAGGAAGGTTTGGGGTCGACAAGAATCCAAAGAAGTTGATAAGGGCATCGTCCATTGCCGTTCCAATGCCAACAAAATTTAGAGACGATGGTCCAAACAATAACACTCCACCAACGGTTCCTTACCCAACACTTATAAGGACTTCATCTTTGCCAACCGAGACCGAAGAAGAGTGGAGGAAGAGGAAAAAATTGCAGAGCCTAAGAAGAATGGAAGCCAAGAGGAGAAGTAGTGAAAAGCAAAGGAATTCAAGAGTGAAAATGGAGGTCAATTTTTTAGAGGAAGAGAAGAAAAATACTGGGGTTGGACCGGCTTTTGGATTGCAGAGATGGGTACGGCCTTGTCATCAAGGGTCTATAGAATCACGAGGAAGAAGCTCCTCTAGTATGTCAGAACCTGAAAATAAAGCTCCTCAAGGTAACTTTCTGCAACATTATATCTATAGGAGATTGTATGTGTATTTGGTTTCAAATCTTAGATAAGTTTTGCAGTTTGTTTGATGGGAATTCTGGGGTCGATAAGTTGAGAGATGATGACATTAAATGTGATGTATAGCTTTGTTGGTATGGTGATTCCTTTCATCTACCAGGTTGCATCAGTTTTATAGCTTGGAACCCTTATGAGGAAAATTCATTATTCGATTTCTTTGTAACGCCTTCCTTTACATGTGTTGTCATCTCATTTACCAAATTTAGTGGACATTGAGATAACCGGAAATCGTTGTTCGAACTTTGTTTTGATCTATGCTCAGCAAAATTATTTTCATTTACTAGAATCTCAGCAAAATTTAGTGATTATTAATTAGCACTATGTGGATCATCATTAGAAGAGAGCTTGGTGCACTAGATTGAGCTAAGGCTTTATTAAAAAATGTTATGGAAAATTTTGATATTAGTTTTGCTCTTTAGTATCTCGGTCGACGTCAAATTTGCTTTTTATTTCATATGTGAATCCTGCTGTATGTTTTCAGGTTTAGATGCAGTACATTCCTCGTTCGTTATAAACATATGCTTATGAGTAGTTTTAAACTTCATAATCATGGCTGGTTTCTCGTGGCAACATTTATTCAAAATTAACTTGGACTTGTTGGGTAAATTCTTTGAGTCATTGCATTGTTTTGCATACCCTGAATGAGCACTCAAGTAATCAGCAGATATTTGGCATCTTACTTGGATGAAAAATATATCGGTTTCTCCTTCGTTGTCCTTGTAGTTTGTCTATCATGTCGGCGACATGTAGAACTTAAAATTAACCCGTGGATGACAAATTTGTTTCCAGAGCTCCTGTGTTAATAGTAGCTAGAAGCCTAACGCCTGTTATGTCGGTCATCGGTGAGGATTTATGACTAAGCTATTGATTGCAGCTGGTTCTACTGTTCTTATGATCTCATGCATTGCAGGAGCAAGTAGTTGTGGTGAAGCAGGAACCTCCGGTAGCACCCAATCCTTGCAAGATCAAGGCAATCAAGAGGTTACATGCTCATCAAGGTCTAAAATAAGTGGATCCTTCAAAACTCTGGGACTCGAGGTAGAAAATGAAAGGAGAGAACGAGGGAGCGTGATGGAAGACATGCCTTGTGTTTTCACGAAGGGAGTCGGTCCTAACGGGAAACGAATAGATGGCATTCTGTACAAGTATGGTAAGGGAGAAGAAGTGAGGATAATGTGTGTCTGCCATGGAGATTTTCTATCTCCAGCAGAGTTTGTGAAGCATGCAGGTGGCGGTGATGTTGATTATCCTCTTAAACATATAGTTGTAAATCCTTCCCCAGCTTCACCTTTTTAATGCTCGAGTTTGATGAAATCCCTTGACAAATTGCCAATGGAAAGTTTATTTTTGAAAATATTTTTGTTTTTATTCTCATTTTAAAGTTCAATTGCATTTTCATTTTTCTTGAAATATTCATGTTTAAAACCGTCGATTAATCTTTGCAGAGAAAGTAAAAGATCTTGATACCATATAAAAATGAAATAAATGATAGGATCCATGAGAGTAAACATGAAAGTTCCATTATTTCATAATGTGTCAAGCATTTGTTCATAGAGAGCTAAGCATTGCAAATAAGGGACATAATAAGTTGCAACAAAACCTGTATTTGGTCAGACAATTTTTCTCCCAAAATTCATGTCTGCTATTTTCCTGCAGATCACTTAGGTCTGTTCTAGGTTAGATGGACTATTTGGTTCGAATTGACAACTTACAAGTTTGTTATGATTCTGAACTTAAGTTCCATCGGGATCATAGCATGCTTGTATAAAACATATCTTTCCGAAGAAGGTTGAATTCATTTCAGGTGATGGACAACTTGCCTCATGGTTGGCCTAGTTGAGAGGCTGTCAACTATGCATGTAATGGCCAAGTGCAGCAGTTATCGAGATGCTTGTGTGGACCGCCTTCCCATAGCCTTGTAGTGAACACATCCTTTGCTTGACCCTGTCGCAGCAGCATGCAGGTCCAAAAGACGATATTGAAACCGTTTGCATGAGCGGAGAAAGAAGGATCCAAAGCTTTCTTGTCTGATATCAACTCAAGCAGCACAACTCCATAACTGTAGACATCGGCCTTCTCATATACACGATAGACGATATTGAAACCATTTGCATGAGCGGAGAAAGAAGGATCCAAAGCTTTCTCGTCTGATATCAACTCAAGCAGCACAATTCCATAGCTGTAGACATCGGCCTTCTCAGATACACGACAGGTCATAGCATACTCTAGTGCAACATATCCAAATGTCCCAGCTACACCGGTCGTTGCAACGGCTTCGGAGGTGCCCAAAAGCCTCGATAATCCGAAATCAGACAGATTATTGTTACAATCTTTGTCTAGCAATATGTTACTTGGCTCGACATCCTGGTGCAGAACCTTCGGAGTGCACTGGTCATGCAGGTATGCGAGTGCATGGGCTATATCCAGAGTGATCTTGTGAATAATCTTCCAATCTACAGCTCTTTCGGACTTTTCCTTAATAAAATTTTCTAAGTTACCGCTTGACTAGTAATTGTATATGAGAATCATCTTTGTCTCACTTGCATGATACCCTATTGGAGTCACGAGATTAGGGTGCCCCATCGTTTCGAGGGTCTTTACCTCAGTATGCAATTGCTGAACACCTTGGAACCTTCCAACAGCAAGCCTCTTCACCGCAACTAGGTTTTCCGGAGCTATTTCAGCCTTGTAAGTGGCACCAAAACCTCCGTTCCTAATGCATTTACCGGCACTAAAGTTCTCCATTGCCTGAACAATTGTTTCACATGTCAATGGAACCCCAATGTCAACTAAAGTCGTTATTTCCTGTGATACGGAAACTTGTTACATGGAAGGTGGAACGCATTTCCTGGTGTAAAAAAAGGGCAACTAGAACCACAAGAAATGAAAAAATGACTGACGCAAATGCTATGGACGCGACCTCAATGGAATCTAGACTTTCATTGCCAATTGTGTTTCCAGGAGGAGGAGCAGCTGTAGCGATTTCTGAACCTTCAGTGTTGGTTGTCGTATTGCCAGTTCCCAAATAAACTTCAAAATGATCTAGCGAGCATGTTTCCAGCAGCAAGAAATGCATAATCAATCTGGTCCTCCAATCTTGTTGGTGCAATTGGCAGTCTTGGGAGTGAACCGGAGAAGTTATTTCTGCCAAAATTGTGAACTAACACGCCAGAAAATGGCAAAAGCATTGCAAGTTGTGTTTTATACGTAAGGAATGACGATGCCAGATCTCGGGTTTGGAGAAGTTCAGAACTCATGGATGAAAAGCAGGGCATACACTCTGATTAAATCCAGGGATTGATTCAGACATTAGGTTTCCACTGATATCAAAGTGTCATACAAGGAACTGGAAGTTTAGCATCAAGTTCCCTGGTTAGCCTGTTCGAGCTCAAATCTAGATTGCATCCACTAAACACTCCAAATTTTTTCCACTTAAGTTATTTCTGAGCTAAGTCCATAATTTCCAAGTTCTCACTGCCGGACCAATTCCTTGCTAATTTCCCCTCAAGAATCACCCCTTCTAGTTCATTAAACCCGAAATTCAAAACGCTCAAATTTCTCAACCCCACAATTTCACCAGGCAACCTCCCGGTAAACGAATTTCCTTCAGAATCAAGTTGTCTAACTTCTCTAAACCCCAAACTTCTAAAGGAAATTCACCACCAATATCATTAAAAGCAAGAGACAGAACTTTAAGCTCAGTAAGTTTCCCAACCAAAGGTGACAAGTTCCCCACTAATTTCCCCTTTGAACATGCTCTTCTCCTCAACCCAAAACCATAAAATGGAAACCTAGACTGCTTTGAAGAACAAGAAGAATCTGCAGTAATCTCCACAACCACCAGGAATGTTGATGGAGATGACTCGAGACCTGAAGTTGCATGAAACCCCGAACCAGGAGCAGTGATTCGGGTTCTCTGAGGAGTTCCAGCTAGAGAGAACGCCAGAAGGATAAAAAACAGAGCTTTTGAACTCCAACAGGATTGCTTCCTCAGAAGCTAACTTCCCTGAAACCGAGTAGAAGAGAAAGAACAGCTGAAACAAAAACAAGATCAAATCTTTAAGAACAGAGAGCATTCCATGTTTGCTTGTTTTGTTAGATAGAACCAAAAAAACCAAAAAAACAAAGGAGGTTTATAATCTGTGTTGTTTGAAAGAATCTTCCTACGAGAACCAAAAGATTACTACTACTAGTCTACTACTCTCTCTGTTTCATAACGGCAGAAAATGGATCGATTCCTTTAACCTGACGTAAATCTGTGTGGATATTTTTTAAAATTTACTTTTTTAAGGAAATGATGCGATAATTTATGTTATATTATAAATTCACACATTTTTTATTATTATTTTCTATCCTATATAACTTATATCATAATATATTTTCAGTCTTTTCTAAATAGCTATAACTAGACTAAACTAATTACGAAAATATATGATTACAATAATAATCAAACAATACAACAACAAAACCCAATTATCATATGCAAAGGGGTAAGAAGGAGGTAGAGTAGTAGACTGTCCCCAACGCCAGGCTGAGAGTAGCTTCCGTGGAAGACCTCCAGCAGTCAGAAAATTAAAAATATAGATAAAATGCAATGCATGTATAAATAAATACATAAATACATAGTTGAACAGTATTCATATGTAGTCATTAATATCATATACGTGTCTGTAATGGGAATAATAATCAAACAATAAAATATATAAATAAAATCATAATTACAATTGATATATTATATAAATACAATAAAAATGAATAGTTATAACTTACAAGACCAAAAATAAATGTCATAATAATTGAAAATAAATTAGATTAAAACAATTTCAAACAAATTTATATAAATAAAATATGGACTCTTTGCCGATACAATTGACTACTCTCAAAGCTAGACTCAAAATATCTTATCAATCGATACTATTTCGTATTTCTTGAAGAATAAATTTTCGTAGTTATATCCAATTGTATAAAAGAAACGATCCTGTTACTAATGAGCCAAAGAAACATAAAAAGAATTACAATGTAAACTTTGGGAAAAAGTTAGTGTATAAGCTTTTGCTATGTAAATATTTAAACTACAAATACAAAAAAAAAAAGAGAGGGAAATAAAAAATAAAGAAGAAAGTTAAATGTGATAGGCCAGTGGCTTTGGGTTCCGAGAGTTTCGTTCAACAACAACAGCGTTTTCCTCGACGACAAGAAGGGAACCAAGACCAAGAGCAACACTTGCTGCAAACTGATTTTGATTTCAATGCGGAGGCCAAGGGCTTTTCTTCTTGTTTCTGCTTCTGCCGCGCTTTTCCTTTCTTTGGAGAATTACTTTCATCTTCCGAACTGCAATGACACCGATAAAAGCACAACAATCAGCCTATGTTACTTGGATGCGAGTGAGTATCGAATACGGATATGTGATTGAGTTTGTTATTGTGTTTCAGTTTTTCATATATTTGGAGTATCTTATTCATACATAACTATGCTCATTTCCGAAAATGTATCGAACACAAATTTTAAAAGATTTTCTTTGCCCATATCTAATAATTGCCCAAATATGAGCATATAAGTGCATGCTTACGTGATCCATTAGCATAGATGTGGGGATAAAAAGAGGAACATACTCTGAACAACAGCACCATCGTTTAATGCTGCAGTTCCAACAGTAGCACAATGCGCAGCTATAATTAGAACAGTAGCAGAACGCCCATGCACATTTCTCCTTGTTTTTGTTCTTGATCTTGTTTTCTCTGCAATATACAAGGCGTATATATTTAATCATAGAGCAAACACTTGGTTTGAAATTTTCTATATCTTTATGAGTATAAGATTCATATTAACAACTACATAGACACCAAGGAAAAGGTACTGTTTAGCTCAAAGAAAAACTTGCACTGAGAAAGAATGCTGTCAACTTACACTGGAAGGTCTAAGAAGAAATCACTGGTTCCATTTTCATCAGAACGATTAGAAATGTTGGGTGGTTCCCAGGGCACAACCTGCACGTTCGGCTTTTCCACAATCGGTTCTTCCTTGACGAATGTTTTATCTTTGACAGCGACATCTGATACCTCAGTTTCCTTTTTGTCGGATTCTAAATTCATTGTGTCCACCATTGGAGCAACAAAAGGCGATGGAACCAATTCCATACTCTCGCCTTTGGAAAGTTCAGATCTTTTGTGTAGAATTTGATCTCTGGCAAAACTAGTGCCCCCTACTTTAATGCTAAATAATGAATCATTAGAAGCATTACTCCAGTCCGTAGGTGCTGTTGATTTACTTGTTCCAAACACATCAGATGGAATCCTATATGGATCGAAGTCTTCCGCCTGTTGATCCATTACTTGGATTGGAGGGGATTGTGTCAATGTCGATTCATGTGGACTGGTGGCAAGCTGAGATTCCGATGTCAAACCTGCCGATCCATTTTGGCATTTCTTTAATATGGACGTTGCTACTTTCGTATCTGCTCGAGATCGATCATCGGTAGATGAACAAGATGAAGATGAAGACAAGCTAATCTCTCCACTTTCAACATCTGTCCCTTTGTGTATATCAACTTCATCTTTGTTTCCCGATCCCTTGATGATCTCTAGATGGGCATCTGAATAGTTACTACTGCCTCCACTGCCCTCCCTTGAATGCCCACTGCTTCCACTATCACTGCTTCCAAATTCATCTTTAAATTTTACACGTTTGCTTGATTTCTTGGTATTTACATTGCCATCTTCAGAGCCCATGTCTTAAAAAAATTGTGCATGAAACAGAGTTGAATTCATGCATTTATATTTATCGTCCCATAGATCAACCTGGAAAATGAAAAAACAGAAAGAAATCTTTGACAATGCCAGTGAAATGATGTAGAGTTCAAAGATTTAGACAAAGTTCAAAGAATCTCATTTGACATTTCAACAACTTCAAACATTAAACAAATATCTAAAATATAAATCAATTATAATAACAAATGAACTGAAAAACAGAAAAATACTTTAATTTTGTAGCATTAAACACACGAACCGATAACTTCGCCGTAAGTGTCTCCGTCCGTCCTCATCTGCTTCTTTGCGTTCAACAAATATCTAAAACACAAATTCACCGATCAAATTAAAAAAGAAAAGAAAAAGGAATTAACAAAATTTTCAAAAAGAAGAAGAAGAAAACTGATAATTTACAATCAAAAGTAAAAAAAAAAAACTGAATTTTCGTTTTGTTATTATAATAATCCAATCATAATTTAAAAAAACAGAGAAACAATTCAAATTTTAAAAGAATAACGATAAAGGAGTTAAACAGATATGAAATGTGGGAGAAGCAGCGCCATTTTCTTAAAACAAAAAAAAAAAAAACAGAAAAGAAAACTGTTCATATTTTTCGAACAAACCTCATCAGTTCTGCGATGGATGACGTCCAGTATGTTTGAACTTACCTTTATCTTTCCATTTAATCGCAGAACGAGGATAACTGCAGAACTTCAATTCAGCTTCGTTTGTCATTATTTCATCCATTTGCAGCACTTAATACGCTACCTCTGGCTACGATTACTTAAGATGGCTAACTGCAAATCTTTTTTAAAACATTCTTCTATATGTTTCTCCTTGTTTTAGGGTTTTGGATTATGGTAAATTACTCATAATATCTTTTATATTAATGTATAACCCCTGATTAAGCCTTTATCTTCTTTATTTTAAATTTTTAATCTCTATTTTACTATTTAAAATAATACTATAATATGTATATGTTTTATAATAAAATTTTTTAAAAAAATATTATTATTAAATGCTAATCTTAGTCAAATCTAGTTAATTAGAATCTATAAAATTATTTTAAATATAGTTAAGTAAAATCTAAAAAATATTACTAAACTTAGTATTAAATTTCACGTAAGTAAACTCATTAATTGATTTTAATAGTAAAAGTAAATATTATTCTCTTTAGAGGTATTGAGTTTGAACAGTTATATTTGTAGGATGTGCGTATATTATTAATAAATTAAATGAATACTAAATATATACTTAAATTATAATTTATAATCAGTTATTCTTTTAAAATAAAAACTTTTATGCAAGTCATAAGTTAAAAATATGTAAAATCTAAAAGTGTTTTTTATAAATGATTTTTCAAAGTTTGGGCTTCCCCTTCATTAGTTTTGTGTTCTTTCCATTGAAATCAGTGTTTTGTTTCTACAGCGATCCTTTCTTGCTCTCTCATACTACCTGAAGTTTTCAAGATTTTTATTACCAATCTCTTGAGTAGGGATGGAAAACGGGCGGGTCGGGTACGGATATTCACTCTCTCATCTTCATACTCACCTAATATTTTTCAATCTACCACCCGTCCACCACCCATGATGGGTACAAATTTTTAAATCCACACCCGCTCACGCGGGTACATTTTTAAATCTATCCCCACACACACTACCCACTAGCGACATACCCATCTAGACCCGCCTGACAACAAACTAATGGGATGTTGGAGTTGGTTCCCAAACAATTCGTGATGGGATAGCAGTGCATGTTTCAATTTGTCAGAGGAGTGGTTCTACGAATGTTATGGAGACAGATTGTAGGGAGCATGTAGTCGCAGAGCTGGATTGTTGTGTTGCTTTCGATGTTAATGCTCATAGTGCGCCTAATATGGGTTTTAAGGGGCTAAAGAACATGGAAACTGATGCTTTTGATGTTAATGCTTATAGTACGACTAATTTGTGTTTGGATGGACAGCATGAACTAAAGAACATGGAAAGTGACGTGGTTAGTGGTATTATAGGTTTAATCAAAGAGCCGAATATTTCCCTAATTAAAGACCATATTAAAGACTAAATATCATTAATATTTGGTTAAATTATATGTTATATATTATATAATATTAAAATTTATAAATTAGTCTCTAAAATTATACTTAAATTCATAATGATCCAAAATTTAATAGATATTTAGCTGGGCGGTCGGATGCGGGGCGAGTAATGTCTCAAACCCATTACCCGCCCACCACCCACGACGGGTACCACTTTATAAATCCACACCCGTCCACTACCCGCTAAAATTATACCCATCCCCGCTCCAATTGGAGCGGATGCGGTGCGAAATCCACGAAACTGTACCCGTTTGCCATCCATACTCTTGAGCCAGTTGCGGTCAGGGATAGATCGAGGGGTGATTGAAATAATTGTTCTCTTGAAAATTTTAAATTTTTATAAATTTTATTTTAAATTTTTATTAATAATCTATTTTATTGCTAAAATTTTAAAAGTTTAATTCTAACATAAATTTTATTTCATATTTTAGATTTTTTTATATTTTTATTAATCTATTTTCTTCCTGAAACTTTAAAAAGTTTAATCTTAACATAAGAGTCTATTTCATATATTTTAAATTTTTTTATATTTTTATTAATAATCTATTTTCATTCCTAAAATATTAAAATTTTAATCCTAACATAAAATTCTATTTCATATATTTTAGATTATTTTTATATTTTTATTAATAATCTATTTTCATTTTTAAAATTTTAAAAGTTTAATCCTAGCATAAAATTTTATGTCCATCTCTAGTTTGGATCATGTTGTTACTATGTCAACTGATGTATCATCTTTGCAAAACCCAAATCATTCCTATTTCATTTCCAATGTTACACGCAGAAACATTGCAAAAATGCAGTTTTGAGGGTAAGATTTACATGTGATATTTTCAGACAGCATGCTAGGGCTGGTGAACCAAGACAATACCAGCAAACAAACTGAACTATTTTCAAGATGCAAGTGTTGTAGCTGGGCAACTATCCAAAGTGCAGGCTAAGATGTCTCGATAATCCCGATTCTGAAAGAATCATAAACCTTCCCGTCACTGCTCTTCTTGTATTCGAACAGCAAGTTCGAACGATCGAATGCTGTAAGTTTAACAAACATAATCATAATCTCTATACAAACTCCATTTGGTCTTGAGAGTGGTGAATGGTGAAAGGCTTGCTCCTCCCCCACCCGCAACGACGTGTATCGTTCCCTTCAGTGAGCCCTTATAGTATCGTTTCTCATCGGCAGTGCATTGATTCTGTACCACGAAACCTTATAGTTTAGTTTCGGATTTGTCTGAGATAGATCTTGAATGTGGGGGTAAAAGTTTTAGGAGTACCTCGTATATGGGACATGTCCTTTCGTAATTATGCGCATGGCCATAGATGGCAATGTCAACCTTGTACTTCTGCCAGAGTTTTTGAAGGTTTTCCTTTGCCATTGGTTCTCCAAATGATCCTTGAACAGCATAACTGAGGTCAGAAGAATAGCCGAGAACCCTATGCAAGAAAGATCAGCCATGGTTGCCTTTGTCTGTCTACTGATGAGAGGCAATGTTCGATGAACTTGTATTGCTCCGTTCCCTCCCTCCAATCATGTTCCGAGTCCGCTATGCAGAATCGGAACATGCCATAGTCAGTGGAGTACCTGTGAGAATGAAATCCAATGCAAACAAGTTATAGTAGAAAGTGAATACATGCAGGAACTCGTGCAAAGACCCAAGTTATTCGAACTCGAGTACAAGTGAGAGATATAATTATGTATGCACCAGAAGGGTTGTAGTAAAGAAGCATACCAATACTTAGCTTTATTCTCAGCGGGAACAAAAAACGTAGTTTCAGCCAAAACACCACATTCTCCTCCAGAATCATTGTTCTCATAGAAGGATCCAGTTCCAGGCCAGTCACGTTCATGGTTACCACTAAACAAGAAACAACGGCAAAGAAGGTAAGAACCAGAGGAATACAAGCTCTATCAATGAAAGCCAGCAAATCAGCGAACCTCGCAAGCATATAAGGCACAGTTGATGCAATAGGCTCAATCTGTGCAGTAAATTGGTCCCATTGTGAAATGTATCCATTAGCATAGCATATATCTCCAATGTGGAAGATTATGTCAATGTTTTTGAGATCTTTGATAAGCTGTTTAGTAGTGTTGAGAGAGCCCTGCTGGAAATTATTGTATTCATTAGAGCCATCAGCTTCACCCTGCAAGATGAAAGTTTCAACTTCAAGAAACTGCAAGTAGGGATTGTAAACATCAAAGTTTGGAAATAACAAATGGAACCAAGTGTTTGCAATATACAGTAAGCATGATGGGGCTTGAATTTGTGAAGGAAAAAGAAATAATGGACTTTTCGGTCATTTATACTCTATGTTTCTGACATGAATATGTTCAAAATTTTCTATTTCGATGTAATCGTTCATTAATCATGAAATCATGCCTAGAAGAAAAGAAAGATGGTAAAGAAAAAACATAACGACAATGTATATAGAACTTTATCGGTAATGTAAAGAATGTGAAATCCTATACTGAATAGGAATTTTTTTTTGAGGGGTTTATAGTCTCTTTTATCTCTTGTTAAGTAGAGGTAAAGTCCCCCGTGAGCATTCGTCGCTGCCGCTTGCCTGGCATTGTTCGGTTCGTTTTAACGTTGTCTTCGACACTTACTGCACGCATATATTCTTTTTTGTGCCATTTTAGCCATTAAAACAACTTTTAAATCCCATCTTTTAACTATTGATTTTATGTCTGTTTTGGCAGTTTCAACACATTTGTTGGTTCGAGCAGTTTGTTTGTAGGGTGTATGCTGTCAATAACTAAGAGATATTATGAACAGATACTACCTTATAATCACCTCATACAGACTATTTAAACATTTAACCCATATTTTGAGCTTATTGATAGAAGGCCTCCAGCTCATTTTCAACACATAACTCAGAAAAAACATCTTCTAATATTCTTTCAACTTCCTCTCTTTTACGAGTGTTTTATCTATTTTGAGAATTTCTCCGATCACCGGAAAAATTATTTCCGAGCAAACTATCCTTATTTCAAGAAGAAGAATATCAGTTGTCATCTACTTTAAATTTCAGATGCACGGTTTTTTAAGAATTGTATTAACCTTAGGTGCATGATCACAAAGTGTACCAGAGAGCTAAAAAAGGGATTTTTAGTAAAACTGAGGGAAATGCAGCTTCATACTTCAAAACGCATGCAGAAGTTGAAAATAGAATTCGAACCTTTCCCATATCCCCAAAAATGACTACACGTTGCAAAGATTTCTGACCAGGAAATGGAGATGCTCTAAACTGGTATTCTCGACTCCAAATATATGTATTGTTGAACAATCTATGCCCCAGTTTGTAGGTATACCTACACAGTAAATGGAAACTTCATTGAATTAAACTTGCATGCAAATTTTCGAAATCTCAAGGGGGCACAACTCACAAGCATCTTTAAAGAGTGAAGAGAAGGAGCAACATTGTAACCTACATTCTATTTGGCCACAAATCTTTCAGAAAGCTAGTATGTATATATCCGGGATCACGCCATCCAACGGTCCTTGCTGGTGCGCCTGCAAATATAGTAAGATGATGCATGTATAGAAGAAAAAATGGAAACGAAAAAACTATAACTTCTAAGGAAAGCAAAGTTAAACAAACAAAAGAATCCAAATTGATTATTGAACTTGAATTAGAGTGTGAGAGTAGGATATGCGCCTGCATCCTATACGGGTATGTTTATTGTTTATATACTTTTTTTATGTATTTGGAGTTGTATATCAGCCATGATTATGTATTAGACACATGTACCAAGTATGCGTCAGATGTTTTGATCCCAAACCTGCAAATGAATTTGG